CGTCAACAGGTGTGCAATTATCTATTCAGTTGGAGGGGCTTCAGTTCCGACTTCGTCTCCACCCCCCAGCTTTCATAGAAAGATGAGCCAAATGAGGAGAGAAACTCTGTTGGCAAATATTACGGGTCAGATGCATAACTTTTTTCGTGGTTAAGCCCGCATCGCTTCGCGAAACTTCACCCCTGTTGCTCATCCAGCTCGTTGCTGACAAATTCTCATTCGTTCCGCTGCTCATCGACCCAATGTATTTTAATTTTCGCTTCAGTAATGCAGGAAGTATAGAAGAAACCGTCGTTTTTTTGTAAAGAAAACTGGTTTGTTTCAACCCACTGGCTGTAATAAGCATGAAAAACTCCTTACGCGCCCTACGTGAAATTGTGTGCTTCAGAACGGCGCAACACGACGTGCATACATGTGTCTGGCAATTACAGGTTTGTTCGAGCTTGCAGACTACAATCCTTTACGTTCCGAAACTTGTGAGAGGCGCGTACCCCATGTCCCCACGGTGTCGCCAGTCCTGATGGCGACGCCCCTGAAGGTACGGCAGGCACGAGGCTGAATAAGGCAGGCTGTGAAACGATGAAGACTCAAAGTTGTCCCAAACCTTGGCGGGAAGAAAGGAGATGTCTGAGAGATGTCCCTCCCCAGAGATGAGATGTCCCTCCCCCACGAGGACTCATTCGGCTCCCCCGTCGTCTACTCTGGGGACGAAAGGAGTAGTCATTATAATAAAAAGGGCGCCCAACAGCTGGAAGCAGCCCTATGGCTAAAACGGTCAACAAACGTTTGCAGATACGTCCCGACGGCCAGCAAAACAGCAAAGCCCTAAACGATAAACAGATTCCTTTAAGCCCGGGAGGGGGGGGGGGGCTCAAAGTCCGCCACTAGCGCCCAAAACTTGTCGCACCACCAGGTCTAAGACCCTTTTAAAAGGACAATTTCAAAAATAAAATGCGCCAAATATTGACGGAGCATGCCTGAGGGGCAGAATGGGGTGCTTGTTGCTTGAGAACATTTCCCAATCCGGAAAAATGCTGCCCTTGATAGTAGAAAGACGCCTTAGCCCAAAGAGGGACGTCCCTGAGGACGCAATAGATATCCCTAAGGTGAGAAATTATGCCTCGAGGCCGAGAATAACGACCTAAAGAATATGGTGTCCCCAAACCCGGAGGGGTGCCCACAATAGCCCATGGAGCGCTCCCGGCACACGAAAAAAACATGCTGTAGGGATGAAAATAAAAATTAAGAACAGAATGACGTCATTGAGACTTACAAACGTGTTAAAAGGGCGAGGACGTCTTGAAAAAGGACGTTCCAATTTTAACACGCGCCCGGGTGGCCGGCTAGATACCCTTCGCCCGGGAGTCAATTTGACCCCCCACCCGAGCAAAGCCAGAGAAGCCGAAGCCACCCACCCCCAACCTAAGAGAGCCAGAAACACCAAATTTACAGGGTATGTTGAACTGTACGTGAACCCACTTAGGTCAAGTGTAAGGTTACTAGGTCATGACCTTCGGGTCAAATAAGGTTAAACAAGGTCAAGTTCCAGGTTGGTCTCCAAAGTGTCCCCAGAACCTAGATAACTGTTTTTAAGCTAAAAGTCACACGCTCATTTAAGGTCACCGACCTTGTTTGACCTTTTGAAGGTCATGGTGACCAAAATCACAAAAGACTGTTCTCAGTCTTGCATTTGAATAAACGACAATGATTACGCTAGGCAGTATGTCTCCAAAAACAAAATGTCGGCCTACGTCATTTTCGGTCACTAACCTATTCTGGCCTCTAAGAAGTGTATAGCATATGTACAATGCGGTTCCTGCTATCAATAAATTCGAAATGAGCACCGAAAACTATCCCTTACAGCAAGCCTGAGGAATAAAACAGGTCGGTTTTGACCTTGGTCTGCCACTCATACCTGACCTTAGGTCAACGTAATTCCCCCATTTAACATGTGTTGCCTAAGAGAGCACTTCAGAGATGTATGCCTTTGTCAAACACTACGTTGTTGCATCAGATTGAACGATTCCCTGGAAATTAGCTCCGCTGAAATCATGGCCTGACTTTGACCCCCCATATGTCTGCGACCTTACAAGGTACATCCACAAATTTGATACTAAACAAACCGCCATTCAATTATCTACAGCTATGCAAAATTGGGCTGTGCCGCGCAGTTCGGAAACCATTCTGGAAAAACCTTCGAGGGGGGGGGTCAAGTTGACCCCCACCCGAGCGCATGTCAAAAGAAGCGGGACCAGAGGATCAAAGGGCGCGCCGCGGGTCTCAAAAATGCTAAGATTCAAAACAAAAATATCTGAAAAAATGTCCATTTACACACGACGCTGCTGCCGTGGAGTTGCCGCCGAACTGACTATAGGTTCAAACCACCTGCGGTCATAGTTCAGCTCAGGCAGATGACTATTCCCATAAAAACTACACACGGGAGCTTCCGTGCGTATAACCAAGAGGGCTCACTCTTACCCGCTACGCGGTACGTTCTCCGTCGCACACCTTTCAGAGCTTAGTTCGGACGGCAGCATCAACTAAATGCACATGTCCTCAGCACACTACCTCGGATGGCGGAGTGGTTTTGGTCACAAACAGCACGAGACCTCGGAGTACTTTATTGCATCGCAGACAAGCCTACAGTACCGTAACGATCAAAGGTCACAGCTACGACCACCGCCACCGCCTCACAGCTGGAGTTATTGAATGTCGTCTGCCGCAACAGGACAACTGAGGCGCCCCTCGAGCCCCAGCATCGTACCGGTCACGTGACATCGGTCGCGACGACTCCTTCCGTGCGGCTGGGCAACGCTACACTACGCCACCGACGCCAGGTGCTAGATATGACGAGCGGTCAGGGCCACGCAGAGCAGCCAGACCAGCGCCGCCGGAGAGCTCGGCGAGCTTTGGACGCCGTCAGCTCTCAACGCGACGGATTTTAAATCAGACGGAACCAAACGGGGAAGAAGACAAACAGCGCTAGCATGTGCCATTCAATCAATGACAGCGAGGGGTATCTACTGATAGCCAAGCTATTGGACGAAGGAAACCCAGCAGCACAGAACCTGGCGCGATCGGTCAAGAAGAGGACCATTGACCAACCGTGGTCCAGAATCACGGGAACAACACAAACTGGTCGGCACTGAGCTTCACATCTAAGGCGTCGACCTGCTGTTTATTACCCCCGCACACAGCGAAAAGCGCGCTGGTGTAGGCAAAACAATATCAAAAAGTATTGCAGATCCGTTCCAGCTCTAGCTGACATCACACACTGCTGCTGACTGCCGCAGACTTCCTACGGGTCTCCTGCGCGCAAGTTAACCATTCGGCGCACCTCGGCTACCGCCAAGCTAAAGCGCACACACACAGCAAGGTACCTTCAGCGGGGGCTAGTCTAGGCACGCTGTACATATATGACGCGGTGTCGCGTGATTCCCGGGCGGCATACCGTACCAAGATATACGCGTTTTTTTTTCTTGAGATGCAAGTTGTGGAAATCCCAAATACGGAGACAACATGCATTTGTATGCGCTCCTTGTCACTGAGCTTGTACGAGGAGATGCGATCATGACTTTAAAACATAGCCGCAGCGCCCCTCCATCGACACAAGAAAAAAACGCAGGAGTGAAAACAACACGTGCTCCCTGAAACCACAAGCCACCCGGCGACGAAACAAACTACGGCACACGCCATATGTCCTGGTAGACGACGCCGAAGACCGAGGCGAGACTATGCACAACAGCTGATACCCAAAACCGTCTGATATCGACCGTCACTGGAACGCCAGACGACAGTCAGCCTGGACAACAGAGGTAAACTGATGTCCGGTGATGACCGAGGCAAGACTACGAACAACAGCTGACATCCCTAACCGTCCGACATCGACCGTCACTGAAACACCAGGCGACGGTCAGCCTGAACAACAGAGGTAAACTGATGTCCGGTGACTCATCAGCTCCGTAGTTAAAAGATATCACCCCAAATGATGGAGACATTGACTAGAAATACAAAGGCACCACGACAAACCCGAAGTAATACCGTTACTCACCTGGGACCGAGCCCACGTGCCACCCTGCACAACCGTCGAACGCCGATGGGACGCGACCCGAGAAAACCCTACCTATCACTCACCCTCCACAACACAGCACAGGCCAGTGGTAGTTATAGTGCTGTTTGCCTGGCTCGGCGAAACACACAACTTTACTTGGGAGTCCCCAAAACTAGCCTCACTCGACCAACAAAGCATCTACAACCTCCTTCGCCCGCCCAAGGCTGCCAAAGCCCCGCGGCGCCGCGCAGGGTGCCAGCGGCCGGAGTAGCTGCTACGCTGACGTGCAGACGAGCCTCCCCGCGGCCGGCTCCGGACGGCCGAGGACGGCAGGCGCCCTGGCTGGCGGTGGGGCGCCAGAACCCACGCGCTTGTTGTCGGGGATCGACCACGCACGTCCGTATACGGCCCTGGGGAAAAAATACTATACGTGTGCCGTGAGGCAAGAATATTTCAGCTGCGGCCGAGAAAGTGTTACATGTCTAAATGATCTTCAATGACTCAACGACTTTGCTTTCTCTAAAAGCGTCCGCTATATGCCTAACAACATCAGTCAGTTTCCCTCAGCTACTCTAGGTACGCCAGCCGATTGCCGGATAACAAGGATGAGATACTGCGCGGCGGCCCTTATCACTGCCTGAGGTCCACAACCGGCACCTACTGCGCCACGGCCAGCGGCTACCGCGCGACGGCCGACACCTACTGCGCCACGGCCGGCACCTACCGCGCGACGGCCTGCCCCTACCGCGCCACAACCGGCACCTACCGCGCCATAACCAGCACCTACTGCGCCACGGCTAGCGCCTACCGCCCCACGGCCGGCACCTACCGCGCCATGGCCGGCACCTGCCGCGCCACGGCCGGCACCTACTGCGCCACGGCCGGCACCTACCGCGCCACGGCCGGCACCTGCCGCGCCACGGCCGGCACCGCAGCACACCTGACGCGCGACCCTCAGCCCGGTCTGACCCCAGGCCTCACTGCAGGGTGTTATCCGGGCTCCGTCTTGTATCCCGGTGCTCCGCCGTCCTCTCACCACCCACCGCTGTCCCACACCTGAGGAGCAACCTCCAACGATGGGACCTACGTGTAGTTTCGGCACGGGGCCTCGCAGCAGTCGGCACCGCCTTCTGGTGGCCTCACGCCGATCCTGAAGCGCTGGCGACTGCGGCGCCGCGCACCGGGCCGGCCGATGTGAGCTCACTTGGCCCTCTCCTCCCTGGTGACCTTCTCCAGCCGCTTCAGCGCCGACTGGATGCGCACGCCCAGCCGCGACTCGAAGTCGTAGTCCTTGTAGGCGTCGCGGGCCGACTCTAGCAGGGCTCGGCCCTCGGCCCGCCGCTGTGCGGAGAGAGGGCAGGGTCGGGTCACCGGGTCACCAAAGACGGGATCAACAGAGACGGATCACCGAACGCCCAGGTCAACAGCGATGGGGTCACCAGAGACGGATCAATAGGGGTCACCGGGTCACCAGAGACGGCATCAAAACAGACGGATCACCGGACGCCCGGGTCAACAGAGATGGGATCACCAGACACGGGTCAACAGGGGTCATCGGGTCACCAAAGATGGCATCAACACAGACGGGTCAACGGAGATGGGTCACCATACGCCCGGTTCAACAGAGATGGGGTCAACAGAGACGGGTCACCATACGCCCGGTTCAACAGAGACGGGATTAACAGACACGGGTCGCCATACGCCCGGTTCAACAGAGATGGGGTCAACAGAGACGGGTCACCATACGCCCGGTTCAACAGAGACGGGATTAACAGACACGGGTCACCAGACGCCCGGTTCAACCGGGATGGGGTCAACAGAGACGGGTCAATGAAGACGGGTCACCATACGCCCGGTGAACAGAGATGGGGTCAACAGAGACGGGTTAATGGAGGTGGGATCAACAGAGATGGGTCAACATAGATGGAGTCAACAGAGACGGGTCGACGGAGATGGGATCAACATACACGTTCATCAGACATGGTCAGCAATGACTTGCATGATTGACATGAATTCAATGACTTGCATTCAATGACAATGCAAATGACAGCAATGCCAGAACAGCAGCCGGAACATAGCCCACGCTACGACTGAATGGCCTTTAGCCCTGGTAATGATAATGTGCCCTGTAGTGCTCTACTTACGCAAGGGGTCTCGGAAGTGTTGGATGGAGTGGATCGAAATGAGGTTATAAAACGACAAGGGCCCACCCACCCTATTCGCCTGAGAATGTTGTTTCCCAAATCGACTAGTAAAACAAATAACATCAACTGTCTTAAGCCTTACACGCTCGCAATCTCAGCAACCCAAAGGATCTCAGGATGTTCCAAAGTCGAATTAACAGTTACAGCAACAGGAATAGTAGATATTCTACTTTTGATCCTGTAGTTCCACCACCAGATGCCAGCACCACTTCTCGGTGTCATGAAGGTTAATCCGTCCTCATCATCAAGTTAAAATTAATTCATTACATTTTTAATCAGTGTCATCATTATCAAACATTCCCCCCGGCATGGCTCCGGCTATGACCTGCCTGCATACAAAAGCAGATGAAATCAGCTATGTTAAATGAGGGGCAAATGAATACCCGCTGGACCTAAACTCATACCTAAGGCAGGCAGCTACCCGAAAGCTTATTTTCTGCTGCGGTGTGGTGTAAAGGGCAGAAAATTCGACAACAGATGATGTAGCAGGAGTCCAATCTATGCTTGACACCAATAAGTAGTGATGTTGATCCATGAACACGCAGAAAAGCAGTCGTACGATCAGATCGTAGTCAGCCATGCGTGGGATAGCCGGGCCAGGGGAGTGGCCGCCGACCGCGCACGGGAGCAGGGCTCAGATAAAAAATACCTGAAAGAAGGCCCTTAATTTTGTGATTTCATTGCTTGCTGGAGAAACTCCAGTTTTATGGTTTTTGCCACACTGTTTTTGACAGCTGGCACTCGAGGCCTCCAAATTGGTTCGCAGCTAACATGCTGCGACAAATATTATCCCTTGAAAAGCAACCGGCGAAACCTAGGCGTATGAAAACTCGGGCACATTGTGGGCCATTGATTGTAAGTTTTGATCAGCCTTTGCTCAGGTCGTGCCTTGGCATCTATTCTGTGGAGGCAGATGCCTCACCAATGACCCAAAATGCCTACCCGCTGGTGGAATTTCGCCTCCCCAGAGAACAACGTTGAAAAGTAGACGAATAACACTGTAAAGCTGGATATTTCTATATTCCGAATGGCACAGACGAGTCGAATAGGCAAGATTGTGCACAGGTGGGAAACAACTGTAGATATATATATATATATATATATATATATATATATATATATATATATATATATGGCATGTCAAACATGACATCTAATTATCCACCCACACACCCTTGGTCATCGGAGGGGGGGCGGCGGCCTTGCTTCCCAGTAATAAATAACTAAGTATACCCTGAGCCTGCCCCACACACTTTTTGAGACATCCCCATGCCTATGGCGCCCAGTGCCGCCGCCACTGCGTGACCGCCTCGCAGGGCCGCCTCACCTGCGGCTGTCCGCAGTACATGACCGCCAGCTCGTAGCTGGCGTGCGGCGCCACGTGCGGCCGGCTGCGGTCGTCGCGGCCCAGCACGAGCGCGCGCCGGTAGTGCCGCTCGGCCTGCTGCAGGCTCGTGTTGTCCAGCACGCCGCCGCTCACCAGGTGCGCCACGGCCGCCAGCGCCGGTAACTCCAGCGACGCCCGCTCACAGTCTGAGGCGGGGCAGGGGTCAGCGGCAGACAGCGGAGGAGCACCAGCAGAGAACGTCACCGCAACGGGACCCGCCAGGTGACACAGAGGAACAGCCTGGCCCGCCTACTGTCTGGGGCGGGGTGGGGGCGGGTCAGCGACAGGCGGCAGAGGAGCACCAGCGGACTCGGCCCGCCCACTGAGGCGGGGTGGAGGGGAGGCAGAGCGCGTCGTCTGGCCACACGCCAGGGCAGGGGACCCAACTATCACAATCACGAGTGATAATAGGCAGGCCGGCGGTGGGGGGACTGAAAATTAAGAAAAGACGAAATAGCAATGCAGCAGATTCAGCCCTCGAGCGTTCCCAACGCCCTGGCTATTCTAGCTTAATAAACAAACGCCTTAAAGAAAGAACAGAAAATATCATAACAAGTAACAAGAAGCCTGAAGCGCAATGCTGCTTTGGAGACATCCCCACTCGGTAGGTCGTGATGCTAAATGAGAATCGGCACCACGACCGCCGGTCCCCCGCGCTCGCGCCTCTCACCTTCAAGCACCGTGCTCCAGACGGCCGGCAGGCAGGAGGGCAGCACCACGACCGCCGGTCCCCCGCACTCGCGCCTCTCACCTTCAAGCACCGTGCTCCAGACGGCCGGCGGACAGGCAGGAGGGCAGCACCACGACCGCCGGTCCCCCGCACTCGCGCCTCTCACCTTCAAGCACCGTGCTCCAGACGGCCGGCGGACAGGCAGGAGGGCAGCACCACGACCGCCGGTCCCCCGCACTCGCGCCTCTCACCTTCTAGCACCGTGCTCCAGACGGCCGGCGGGCAGGAGGGCAGCGCGTTCCACAGGTAGAGCAGTTCGTAGGCGTGCAGACGGCAGGTCAGCTGGGCGAGCGGCGGCGGCGCCGGCTGCCGCAGCGCCGCCGTGCGTCGCTGCAGGAAGGCGTCCAGGTCGGGCCGGCCGGCGCCCGGCGGCAGCGCGGCCGACAGCAGGCCGGCCGACAGGGTAACATCGCCTGAGGCGCCCGAGCAGACTGGGGGAGGGACACGGAGAGGGCGTGAGGGGGCGGGGAGACGGCACGCCGGCCGACAGGGTAACATCGCCTGAGGCGCCCGAGCAGACTGGGGGAGGGACACGGAGAGGGCGTGAGGGGGCGGGGAGACGGCACGCCGGCCGACAGGGCGACCTGACCTGGGGCGCCCGAACAGACTGGGGGAGGGACACGGAGAGGGCGTGAGGGGGCGGGGAGACGGCACGCCGGCCGACAGGGTGACCTGACCTGAGGCGCCCGAGCAAACTGGGGGAGAGGCACGGGGATGGCGTGAGGGGACAGGGAGATGGCACGCCGGCCGACAGGGTGACCTGACCTGACGTCACCAAGGCGGAACGCACTCGTGAGAGCTGGGGGCAGACTGGGGAAGACTGGCAGTCGGTGAGGTAACGGAATAGCTGGCGGTAAAACGTCCGTATTCAGAGCGAAGCACCGTTGAAAACGGGCGCGCAAACACTTTTGGCACCCAAACCGCACAGTAATGTAACGTCTTCAAGAAGGCCAAGGCAAAGCATGTCTAGGTGTAGACGGCCAGCATATATTCTAACAATAACAACCAAATATCTGATTTGACAGTCTATACATCACCCACTACGAGTTCATTAATGACAGTAGTTTGGGAGCTCCGCAGAAGCGAAGAAAAAAACTGTGCTTGTCAGCCAGGCCAGCCAAACATGACAATCACATACCTGGTACCAGCAGCACATAACAACGAGTGGCTAAACTCCACTCCGGAAGCCAGAACCATACCCGGGTATGCCAGCAGGCAGGCAAACATTTCAAATCTACACATCTCATACCGCATGCCAAACGTACGTGCAGGTGGGCTGACTAACGCACTGAGATAGCGAATAGCGCTGCACAGTGCGAGGGTGTGTTCGGGTGAGTCCTGACGGACCGGGAGTGGAGCCCCCCCCCCCCCCCCGGACCTCCAGCAGGCGCTCGGAGGAGTCTCACCAGCGGCCAAGTAGTGGTAGAAGGCGCGGGACCAGCGGGACTGCTGCGCCAGCTCGGAGAACGCCACGAACGCGCCGACCCAGTCCAGCTGCAGAAGCCGGCACCAGCCTGAAGAGACGTCAGGCGCGTCACCAACTGGCACGACCGATCGGCCCGGTGCCAATGAATACTCGCCATCAGGCTGTTCACAAAACACCTCGCATGGCCGACGTGGGAGTGAGCTGAGCCAAAATCGCGATGAAAAATCCGAATTGTCACAAATTCCAAAATCGGGCATCCGAATAAAATTATACGGCCTCGACGATGCTACGTGCTGTCTAAGGGCTATCCATTACAAGCTGTGTAAAACAAATACAAACGCGTCACAGCCCACAAAGTGTCCGGGAGTAATCCATCGTCCCGTTTTCCCACAACAGATGTCGCATTCGTCGCACTGACCTATTTCATGGAGGCACAGCAGTCGCACCTCTTGCTGCTGACCCTGGCTAGCTGCCACCTCATAGGCTGCGATGGCGCCCTCCAGATCCGACTGCAACGCCAGGGCTGTTCTCACGCACAGATCTGACGTAACGGGGCAGTCCAACAACCAGGGAGCGACTACATGATCAACACAGTTGCATCTAGAAGGCTAGCAATGTCCTGCGTGACACCCACACGCGGCTGACGGGGCCGCGCTGGCGCCGGTGTTTACCTGCAGGCGGAGGACGCGGCCGCGGAAGAACTGGAACAGCGCCGCCTGTCCGTAGCGACCGGCCGTCTCCCGCAGCAGGAGCTCGGAGGTGGCCACGCCGGCTGCCACGTTACGGCCGTCCAGCGAGAGCAGGGGCCGCACCACCGAGTGGTACCACAGCAGCGCCAGGCTGGAGGGTGGGGAGGTGGTCAGACACATCACCGACTGGCACCACAGCAGCGCCAGAGGAGGTGGTCAGACATACCACTACAGGGGTACCACAGCAGCGTCAGGCTGAGTAGTCCGAGGGAAAAAACATGTCCGGGCATAGACGGGAGCGGGCGAGATGTCCGGGCATAGACGGGAGCGGGCGAGATGTCCGGGCGTGGAGGAAGGGAACGAGATGTCCGGGCGTGGAGGAAGGGAACGAGATGTCCGGGCGTGGAGGAAGGGAACGAGATGTCCGGGCGTGGAGGAAGGGAACGAGATGTCCGGGCATAGACGGGAGCGGGCGAGATGTCCGGGCGTGGAGGAAGGGAACGAGATGTCCGGGCGTGGAGGAAGGGAACGAGATGTCCGGGCATAGACGGGAGCGGGCGAGATGTCCGGGCGTGGAGGAAGCGAGCGAGATGTCCGGGCGTGGAGGAAGCGAGCGATATGTCCGGGCATGGAGGAAGCGGGCGAGATGTCCGGACGTGGAGGAAGCGAGCGAGATGTCCGGGCGTGGAGGAAGCGAGCGAGATGTCCGGACGGAAGCGGGCGAGATGTCCGGACGGAAGCGGGCGAGAGGTCCGGATGGAAGCGGGCGAGATGTCCGGACGGAAGCGGGCGAGATGTCCGGACGAAAGCGGGCGAGACGTCCGGACGGAAACGGGCGAGATGTCCGGGCATGGAGAAAGTGGGCGTGCTGCCCGATCACTTTGTTTAACCAAATCACAAGATCACATAACACCGTCCAAAAACCAGCATGACAGTCAAAGTCATCAGCACAGCTCTATCGCCCGACGAATCCATCGCATGGCGAATGTCCCCTCCGACTAACGTCTGTCACACCAACAATATCCCAACACGGATGAGGACGACAGTAGTATCGATTTCTCCGACCAGGTACCTGGCCAACGGCGCTCTCATGTCCCGCGAGGTTCTGCAGAACATCAGCGCCGCCAGCGCCGCCGACCGGTCACTCTGGAACCCCAGCAGCTGGACCACCTGCGAAGAAAACGCCGCTCGGAGTCAGGTCAGGCGGTGTCCGTCACCTCCGCTCGGCGTGCCGGTCTGCAGCGTCTTGATCCGAGCATCGTGATGCCTGAGCTGCATTCGGCTTCAACCACCACCCATCGACAACAAGCGCCACTCTGTTGTGAGTACTTAGAGCTGCCCAAAAGCAGTGCCGTCATCGCATCATTCCGTAGACATGGGACAAAAAATGAGGTATATAAAAGCCCTGTATCATGGCTACCCGGAAGCCTCCTCTGAATGTTCTCACCACAACAGCTCACTGGGTGGGTACGAATGCTGGCTGAGCAAACACCAAACGGCCAAATGCTTGAGTTCCAAGCAGCTGAACGCTACGGCGGAAGATCAAGTCCGCGGGCACCGCGCTGGCCGCCGTGCTCGCGCTAAAAACATCGGGCAGGGGGGGGGGGGGGGCGAGCAGTAGCACGCGGCTCCACACCTTGACGAACTTGGACGGCAGCAGTGAGACGCAGAGCTGGAACAGACCGTAGCCCAGCGACACGGAGCCCATGAGGGCGCGCACAGCTTCCGCCGAGACCGCGCTGCAACAGCCGGCGGCGCCCGTCACACACACAAACAAACACACCTCACACACCTCACCCGCAGCGCAGGAACGCCTGGGCGCCCGCGGCCGCCCGGCACGCGAGCCGCCGTCGCAGTGTTGCGGGTGGGGTTCCCTCCGTTGACGGGTCCTTCGTAAGACAGATGTCACGGCAGGCCACCGCTCTTGTCAACACTAACTTCCCTGACCACCGACTGCCCCACTTTCCCTCCAGATACCAGCATCAACTGTGATGGCTCACACTCGCTCACGCTGGTCCACGCTTCCCCTTCCAACGTATGTCCCCGGACCGATGCGTTCTTTTTCAAACCGTGGTCCCATCCCCGCGACCATACTCACTACCCCGCGTTCACGGCCAATGCAACGCTCACTACTGCTGGTCCATACCGCCCTTTCTGTCCAATATTCAGTGCTCAGAGCCAATTTTTCAGGGCGTCCATAACAGTCCACACATTCCCCAAGAGGTCTGCATCAATCAAGCCGGGCTCGCAGTTATCCCATTCAATCCAGATAGCTCACACTCTCCTCCCGTCCAAAGGTACATGTTCCCGCGGGACCCGATCCCGCCGGCGACTGCCGCCACCTCAGCTACACGCATTCCCCCCCTCCCCCTCCCCCCCCCCCGGACCCTGTCCCTCCGATGTCCTCCCTCACCTGAGTTAGACTCACTTTCCCCGTCTCCTCAGGTGTCCTTCCTCACTTAAGCTACACCCACTCCCCCTGTCCCCTCCGGTGTCCTCCCTCACTTCAGCTACTCTCACTCACTCACTCACTCCCCTCCCCCCGTCCCCTCCGCTGTCCGCCCTTACCTCAGCTACACTTACTCCCCCTGTCCCCTCCGGTGTCCTCCCTCACCTCAGATACACTCACTTCCCCCTTTTCTCTCCAGTGTCCGCCCTCACCTCGGCTGGTCCACACGGAGCCGGGTGGCCGAGCGGCGCAGGCCGCCGCCGCCGCCGCCAGCGGCCGCTCCCGCGCTCAGGCTCGGTGAGGAGGAGGACGTGGGCAGGAGCGGGCGCGCCGGCAGCGGCGGCGGCTCACACCCGGCCGGCTCACCCGGCTCGGCCGCTTGAGACGACAATGGTGCCGGGTCAACGACCGAGCACCGGATCAACGGCGTCATCACAGCACAGGACTCGTGCCAACAGTATCGGGACAGCCCACGGAAACTGTATCATCAATGTGGAATCGTCGAGGGGGTGTGAAGCTTACGCGACCGGCGCCGGGTCGCGGACAGAGCATCGAGGGGGAGGGGGAAACACGCCAGCGTCCGACGCGCACTTCTGTGTGATGATGATGATGATGATGATGTGGGGTTTTAGGGCGCATCGACTGCTGAAGGCCATGCAGCGCCCATGCACTCCCGTGTGAAATCATCGGTGAGGCAGGCGAAAGATCGACAGCTCGGGGCTTCTGATCGACAACCACACGTACGGCAACGGCCGTCTCACCGTCCAAACAACGCTTCTAGCGTTTGAGTAAGCAAAAGCAACGGGAATGCGACTGCAGCAAAAACTACAACGATAACCGCGGAACACCGCACAGAGCACACACGTGCCCCCCGACGTCAACGGCCCTACCATCACCCGCGCCGGCCCATGCACAAGGATCATCAGAAAGCCTAACGCTTGCTCCTGCATAGTCTGATGACAGGCTCTGTTTCGCCCAATCGCCGCGACTGTTGCTGTAACAGTCGTTCTCACGGGCGTTAGCGTATATACGCTTGCACCGTGGTATACAACCGTTGAGTTTCCTACGCAAGAGTTAAATGATACAGCTGCTAGCGACAGCTGCCGCCTTGCAAACTTGACTGACGCAAACCAAATAAGACTACCGCTCTCATAACAGCCCCGATCCGAAGCCCGTGAACACTTGTCTAGCGGAGGCACGCTGGTAACGGGACGGCCCGGACGAGACGGGCGACGGGCGCTCACCGTCCACAGGCACCTCCTGCTGCACCTGCCGGTACATGGCGCTGATCTGGCCGTAGATCCTGTCGTAGGTCTTCCAGGCGCGCCGCAGTCCCCAGCTGCCCTTCACACAGCTGCCCAGGTCCTGCCAGAGCGGAGGGGACCGACTCACTACACCGGGGGAGGAGAAGCGTGGCGAGGGCCTCCCCAAGGTACCAGCTTACCACACCGAGAGGACCATAGAGGAGACTTCCCGCGACTTAATGACGCGCTCAGCTGCTAAGGCTACATGGCATCGCCCGCCTCTCACCCTGGCAGGAAGGGCGGATACCGCGGGAAATCAAAGCCCATGCCTCTGGTTTTCCAGACGCTACACTACCGGCACCCCAGCGGAGACTTCCAACAGAACAGAGACAAAAGATTTACAAGGGAGTGTTCCACATCTGTATGCAGTTTTCAACTGAAACAGTCACCTAGAACATCATTCCGTGCAGTTAGCAGCGCTGCCACACTTAAGCTCCTCTATTTCTGAGCTGATGAGCCCATGAAGATGTGCAGACTATTTCAAGGTCACCCAGGTATCCATGACACCATGATGATAGCATTTCCATCCTGCCATTTCATTGGTTATGCAGCAATCAAGGCCTGGGAATATATAACTGTCCAGTCGTCCATATCTAACGTTCGTTAGCACGATTTTCAGATATAACGGCCGTCCGTAGGCTGTTGGGAGTGCTTCAAATTGGAAAATATTGAAGCAAGCATGAAATATGATGAAACAAGCTCACTTACAACAATTGGTATACTTTTCAAGTGGAAAAGACCACTCGAGACTGCAAAATTGTCTGTTTAGTAACTATGCTGCTATAATAAGTACGTCGTCGTTGTCGTTGATTACGTCGTCGCGCCTTGCACAACACTGATTGTGAACCCATTGCCGGCCGTTATATCTGACGATCGCGCTCACGAACACCAGATATGAACGCCTCGACAATAATATTTTTATTGGCCTTGATCGCCGCATGGCATATGAAATGGTAGGATTTCAATGACGTTGTTATGACATCATGAGTGCTAAGCTGAATGAAATACTCTTCCCGATATACCTTCCCCATTTTCGCGGGCGTGTGGCTCAGAAACTAGACGGGCTTTCGTCTTCAGAAAGGCAGGATTGTGGATGGCACCAAACGTCTTCAAGATAGCTATTTTAGTTCGAAACCCCGCATAAATGAGGAAAGCTCCCTTTACACAATGTTGTGCCAGGTATGATGACACAATCACACCATGAAGTATTAGGGGGCATATTCGCTAGAGAACTTGTGTCATATAGAGCAGTATTTTCCACTTTAGAGTATGCTAAAAGTCGAAAGTGAGCTAAATTCACCACATCTGAAGCTTGCTTCTGCATCTTCAAAAAGGAGCACCCTCTTCAAGATGGCCTTGTCTACATGTTATGTAGGACATTTGTGTTTGCCTCCGCCAAGCATCTGTCAGATACAAATTGGAAGTCCAGATCCAGTGTCATCATAAAGCAACTGCAAGGCTTCTTTAACAATGGTTATGGGTAACCACACATCTGGGGTGCATATTTCTTATGTCATCCAACAAAGGCTTATGAAGTGCACTCCTCTCCAAACTATTGGCGCCAAAGGGAAAGATGAAGGGATAGATGAAGCACAAGATGTGGCAGCAAGCAGCCCAGTGAAGGACCTTGGCAGCGGTCTGCTGTTTGCTGACCTCACCTGCTGCAGGAAGTTGAGGACGGCAGCACAGACCTGGCAATCGGCCACCACGATCTGCCGCTCCAGCAGCTCCACCACTTCCGCCTCCTGCCACGGACATCAGTGGTTACCAATGGACGTATGGAAGGGCTATGTTGTCAGCTTTGCAGCACCTTAGTGCGAGCCTGCCAATGGAAGTTTCCAGTGACAGGACCAAGCCTGCTGGGCTGGATGGATGCTATTGTTTCAGCCGTACACTACAGACTGTGAAGGTTTGCACCAACTCCTTCCCATTAAGCCCATCTATGATAAACAGTTGAGCTGTCTGAAGCAGCCTATGGCAGCCTGCGGCACTTGTGTGGCAGCCTGTGGTATGCGGTGTCCACAAAATGGGACCCTCTTTATGGGGATGTTGAGTGGGATGATGTGATCACATGCAACAGAAGACGTGACATGCCTGGAGCTGCTCAGTGCCCTTCAGCTTGCTCTTTAGCTGGCTGACAAGGCCGGAGCCAGGTGCCACAGCCTTCTCTGTCACCTTCAGCAGTTGCAGTGTCTGCTCCAGCTGAGCTGTTTCAAATGTCACAACAGCACTCTGTTGGTAAAACATCAACCCAGATTATTCACTGATGGGAACTTGGATGAGTGCCACTAACCCACATAAATAATGTGATGTAGTCCCTAGTCTTGTAAATAGTTCCAGATGACTACCCCATGACTTCAGGAGACTTTTAACACTTCATCACTCAAAGATGGTAGAAATGCCCCACTTAAGCTCCTCAGCTCCTAAGCTCCTAGCTTACGCTCCTAGCACAATCAATATTGTACAGAGAAGAGTCTCTAGATTGGTAGTTTGTATGATTAGAGCACTGCCTTTTGGATTCATGTGGCAAGATTAGTTCCAGGTAGATTCATGCCCCCTTAGATGCCAAGATGCACCACAAAAAGTGGTAACATTCACATTTGAGGTCAGGTAATGTCACAGGGTAGAAGGATCAGTGCCAAACACCACAGCATGTTAAGCTTTTGTTGTAGCATTATGAAATTGTACTGGACTTTGATAATCAGTTAGTGAGATCAGACTGATGTGCCACACACCACTCAACATTGGCTCTGATATAAAAAGCCATCCAATCAAAAGACAGAGGCAAACCTTAAAAACTGAGATATTGATCATGTAATTAATTTCATGAATGACATAAGACTTGAAAAATGTGCATACAACATAAGGGCCTACTTTTCATATCACAAGAAAATCCAGTAATGTTTCCTGACCGAGAAAATATCTCAGTCTTACTGGCATGACAAATCAGCTCAACCACTGCCATAAAAAACATTATTTTACAATACTGGATCATAATATATTCTGTCCTTACTTGCATCATCATTATGCCAAAGAGCAGCAAGGGCACTTACCATGACAGCAGCATAACACTGTGCCATCCTGACATGCCAGTTTTCATCGTGATGACGGAAGAGTTCTTCAGCTTCCACCACACGGTTGTTCAGAAACATATCAATGCTTTCCCTTGCTAGCTCCATGTTCATTTCTGTGGGTTAACAATGATCAGACAGCCCTTCTGCTGTATGGGAGTCACAGCCATCACAGCCATTCACATCACTTCTGCTGTATGGGAGTCACAGCCATGTGCCAACATGAAATATGCCAAATTTGTCACTGGCATCATGCATGCTGTTGCCCGGCAGTCCATCAAAGCAAACAAATTCTTAATTAAGGAAAAAACTTGGGATATTATGGGTACAAGGAGGGCATCAAAAGAGCCATAGGTTAGCCTGTACAATAGTTTATTTGGTCTCATATATGTAGACTAACACTTCAACCAATACATCTGCCTATGGTTTCAGGCATTTTTGGTTATGTGACCCAATCCACAACAGCCAAGGTCACCATTTTCTGTTAAGTATGGAACATTAACTGGACAAGATTATCTGGTGATGTCCTGAAGGATTGTGGTATGGGGCCCTCAGCAACCCTTTTTTGTTCTTGGTTTTGCATTTTTGGGAGGATTTGGTGTGACCAAAAGTCACTGGCTTCACACCAGGATGAATTTTTGGCCAATCAGGATAAAATGGGGATGGTTTGATGTTGATCTATCGCACAGGCGCCAAGTGTGGGGTTGTCAGGTACTCCATAGACATGCGCTTCCAAATTAAAAGCGTCCAAATGGGCACAAATGTTTCACTCATATTACGAGGCATCACATATTCAACGCAGGGCACCTTAACCTTTCGATGAAGTACTCAGCATTACCTAGCCACTCCCAACCAAACCGAAACAGCAAAATAACTTAACGAAGCCCACCAAGTGCAAAACCAAAACCAATGCCTCGGTAGCCGAAGTCAATGAGAGCTATTTTAGTGACTTTCGGCGGAACTTGTCGCATTTGCGCCGAAATTGTAGCGACGCATGAAGGGGAATAAATTATGTGCGGGCATATCCAAGGATATTTGCCACAAAGTCGCCTTTTTGTTCTGTTAGATTTACGTGGTATGTGCTTTATGTGCCATGTGCTCTGTGCGCTATATCCTTTGCGTGCTATCACCTTCAGGTTATTTCCACTCATTTTATGTCATTTTTCTCGGAAACATACGTGCGAACCTCGCCTTCTGTAGTCGCTGGCAGCCAACTGAGAATGGAATCTCACGTTCTGAGAGTCGCGAATCTTGTACCTAGCACATGCTGCACCGCTTCTCTCACCAGCAGCCAGCGACGCTTAAAAGTGTTTCCTATCTCATCTGTTGGTCGTGGAGCGATCGACTGGCAGCCAGCTCCCTTGCTTTTGTTGGAAAGGGACCTTCGGCACAAGGCCATACAAGCTGCGTACGTGCCACGTAGGACTTTCTCTCGTGCTGCTCGCGAGGAGCCCTCACCTACGCAACGTGTGGGCCTGCCTCCATCGCTGCCCGCCAGGACTCATTGGTTAAATCACCTGTGGCGCACTTAGCTCGCCGTGAGAAAAAAACTCGATGAAATTTCTATGATCATGAGAAATGATCATGAGAAATCATGAGAAATTTCTAGTAGCCCTTACGGAATGCGTAGAGATGCCATGCAAGATAAAGGCGTTACCGAAACATGAACCCAACTACGACGCGTCCTTCTTAACCTGACTTAACCTGCTTTCTGAGGCTACGCATTGATCGATCTGCTTTTCCCAATAAATTGATCGCTAGACACGTAGAGGAACACCAAGTTAAGGCCAGCACGCGTCTTAACACCACTTATAAGTGACACCCTCGAATATTAGGTATGCATATTGAGACAAAACGATGCCAGTACGGAGGGAGTACGACATATAACGAAAAATTAGGATTGATATGCGAATGTGTTATCTCAAAATTTCTGAAGAACTCCATTTCCTGAAATTGCGTTAGATGCAAGGCAAAGTTATATGCACATGGAAAAGGGTCAGGGTTGTTAACTACCTACATGCCCACCATTCCTCCGCCGGCTTTACATAGCGTAGAGGCGAAGGCGCCCAGCACCTAGCTGTCGGTGCGCCAGGCCGATAAAGTTTCAACGCCGTGAATGTTTGAATATCCGTATGGACGTAGCCTTTCCCCCGATGGGGTCGGCGTATCACAGGGCCACCCCCTATTAATCATCCTGGCGCGCATGTCCAGAAAGAGCGGCCGTGCCAAAAGCCGCAAGAAACCGCCGGCTCGTACGCTGTCCTCCCCTCCCCCGCCCCCACCACCGCCACAACTCCACAAAAAACATGAGGTCGGCGGCGGGCAGATTTGACATGCCGCACGCCGTAGCTGTATACAGTGAAATGAACCGTATGGATAGCGACACGCAGCCATGGTTTTGTCGGACGAGTCTGGTTCAAGGAAAATGATGGTAGTATATCGAAGTCCTGGAGAAACCCTGGTGTCATCTGGGCAGGTACGCACATAGAAGCGCACCATTCGCAATGGCTTCAATAGGAGGGTCCATGCCTGTTGTTCCCAAGGATCAAGAGTGGTTCCAGAATCACTTCGGTGATAAGTGGATCAGTCGCCTCCTCTCTGTGGGGACACCTGAGAGACCATGTCTATGAAGGTAGCTGCAGGCAGTCACTGAGATCAAGTCAGAGCGGCAGAAGAGAAGACCCGAGCGGTCCACATTACTCTGAGAGTGGACTTTGCGGGCGATTTCGTCAAACGCATTTGGTCGTTTGAGCCGCCCACACCTACACCATGAGTGGGATGAAATTGTCCTTAGATCAACACCAGACGCCTCATAATTGTGCAACTTCGAGTCACTTGCCTGCTGCGCCTCATAAGCAGCTCTAAAAAGCAGACATGCGTGCGTGCAGACCTCGTGACTTTTCCGTCGTTGAGCAGATTTGTCTACTTTCCTCCCACCCCATGGATATAGCGGGGTTCGGTAGCACGCTTGGTTGCGAGTCCGCCGGCTGCTACCGGCTCGTCTACCGGGGACTCAGGTAGGCCTGTAACTCTGAGAACGGCGCGAGCCCAGTCCAGGAACTGATCTATTGCTATTCAGTCACATATATTCTTACGTGCTCTTCCAGGATGCCGTAGTCCGTATTCAGCAGCCCTCCAACATCTGTGTAGTTCTTCGGACATGGATCACGCATTACGAGAGCCTAAGGTCATCAGACCGTGATCAGGTGCGCTGTCGTGTAGTCAAGGGTTTGGCCTACACCATGCCGTTCACGTGGCGACGCCGCCGACAATCTACCAACGACAATGTATTTCCGGGAACAGCCGGACTACAGATGACACAATGTCACCAAAAAACCTACAAAGCTCCTCACTGCTAGAGCGACTGGCTACACCTCAGGTCTGATTCCCCGGCGCACCGTTTTCGATATGGCCTGGTATCGCGGTGCTCCCACAATCTGTAGCACGCTGGCTGTTATTTTATGCTACCGGCCTGAAGCGACCACATGGGCCGGCCATCTGGCATGTCCGTCGAACGTTCGATGTGCAGGTCCGAGACGACGACCGTCACCCGGCGACACTGCAGCGGCCCGAGCCGACGACCGTCACCCGGCGACACTGCAGCGGCCCGAGCCGACGACCGTCACCCGGCGACACTGCAGCGGCCCGAGCCGACAACCGTCACCCGGCGACACCGCAGCGGCCCGAGCCGACGACCGTCACCCGGCGACACTGCAGCGGCCCGAGCCGACGACCGTCACCCGGCGACACTGCAGCGGCCCGAGCCGACGACCGTCACCCGGCGACACTGCAGCGGCCCGAGCCGACGACCGTCACCCGGCGACACTGCAGCGGCCCGAGCCGACGACCGTCACCCGGCGACACTGCAGCGGCCCGAGCCGACGACCGTCACCCAGCGACACTGCAGCGGCCCGAGCCGACAACCGTCACCCGGCGACACTGCAGCGGCCCGAGCCGACGACCGTCACCCGGCGACACTGCAGCGGCGGACAGTGGCTCAGTCCTCCGAAGAGGGCTGCTCGTACAACCAGCATGCCCCCTCCCCCCCCCCTCCGAGACCAAAATACGCATGCCCCAACGTGAATGCGAACCAAACCGGCCACTCAAATGAACGCTAGGTTGGCAGCGACATGTGCCAGTTTAGCCACGATGTGCACTGCCCCAGGCAAAACGCATCAATGCACTCGCCGAACCCCTCACTCCGCACGCGGCGCGTTCGGGTTGTCGCCCTTGTAGAACTCCTTGAGCAGGGCGATCGCCTCGTCCACTCGCTCGGCGTCCTGGACGAACGTGGCGTCCGTGGGTAGCAGCCGGCCGGGCACGCTCAGCACGGAGCCGCAGCCGCCGAACCGCTGGTTGGCGCAGCCGTACCTCACAGAGCGCACGCCCAGCTGGACCAGCGCCGCCGCGCACATCACACACGGCTCCACAGTCACGAACACGTCCGTGGCGCCCCACACGGCCGCTGCCGGCACGCCAGCCGCTCCGCACTGCCGATAGATGGCATCCACGCAGTTGAGTTCGGCGTGGCGCGTGGCGTTCTTGGTGGCGTTGACGGTGTTGCGGCCCGTGGCCAGCACGCGGCCGGCGCGCACCATCACACAGCCGACGGGCACCTCCTGATGGCGGAGCGCCTCGCGCGCCGCCGCGAACGCCGCGTCCATGTGGCGCCGCCTGGCGGCATCGTCCAGTGTGACGTCCTCCCCCGTCAGCGCCGCGTTGCCCGCCGCCGGGCAGGCGTACTCAGCATGCCTCGCGGCGTCACCTCCCGGTGGGTCGCCGTCACAACCCCGGGCGAGGTCACCAACACTCTCTGTAGCGTCGTCCCCGTGCGGGACGGCGCCACCACCCTGGCCGGTGCCGTCCCGCGGCCGGGCGTCACCGCCGGCGGGCGAGCCCATGGTCGGGGACGACACGTACCGCACTGGAGCGAGCGCGGCGGAGGCCACACTGCCCGGCCCGGCTAGCCGCGTCCGGCAGTGATGTCGATCGTGCCCGGCTAGCCGCGCACGATCGACATCAGCGGCTCGGCGTGCACGTTCTGGAAGTCGACGCGCGAGTCCAGATCCTCGTCAATCTCGCCGATCACCACCACGTTGTCGCCACGGATCAGGTACAGACCCAACACCACCTGGGGGGAAGGTCTGGTCACCACCGTGATCACCACGGATCAGGCACAGAACCTGCAGCACCTGGAGAGGGGGGGAGGCGATAGTAGTTGGTCACAAACGTTGTCATTATGGTTCACCAACGTTACTTCTATTCACATGCAAAAGCAATGCGATTGTTCCAAACAAGTCACCTTCATCCAGTCTAGAATGTCATATCCGTATCTATTTCTAGCGGGGAAAACGACCGGAATACAAATTTGTAACCTATGTAACCATTTACGAATGTTTAAATGTCTACTTTATATTTATCTACGTTTCGAGATCTTACTTCACCGTCAGAGACCTCTAAAGGCAAAATAAATAAATTTTACAATTGTAACAATGCAAGTTGTGCATTACTATATGAAAAACATATTTAAGTTCAGAGAAAAAAATGAAGCATGACCAATTGCAGTAAGACAGAATCCTATAAGGAATTTAATTCATATAAAATACCTCCACGATGGAATAATACAAAGACATCAACACATTACCACAATCACATCTATGATACTCACCGCCAACCACTTAATAACTCAAGGGTTGTGGGAGAGTTTGCTTGCCTATTTAATCCTGGTGAGTTCGCTTCCCTTAAATTACTCCGACTGGTTTGTATGGGTGACCTTGGGTTCATAGTGCCTGCCAAGCATGGCTTGTTCCGTGCACCCTGAACCCACCACTCAAGCCGTACTGTCCAGATCGCCGGATAACTTAGCCTCCGCCCTTGCGCCAGACAGGAATGCGGATGGTTTTACGTCCCGCACAATGCTGCGACACGGCCGCCCCGGGCCAGAGTCGACGCTCGTTGGCCAGCTGTCAGCTGACTTTTCCATCTGAATTGGGCCAAACAATGCGCCCGCTCTGGAACTCGTACCCAGCGCCGCTGGATTACGAGGCCAGCACCTTTCCCCCAGACCACGGAGACGGCGTCGTTAATAAACATGCTTTCCCAAATTTGAAGTTGCCATAGAAAAGTACATTGACAGCCGTCGTGAGGGTGTCGTTGTGGTTACACCAAGGTAGTGTATGGAACGAAGTTTACAGCTTTCGGTATTGCGTTTGAATTGATACACCACGTTGGTGCATTTTAGTTCAACGGGTTGGTCTGGGCTGTTTCTCATAAGAAACTTAGAGATTTTCCTTCTGCGATAATAAATGATAATGCCTATTTTGTGGTCGGTCTTGTATTTTACATGTCGAAAGGCGATATCCCGTAATTTTTCGTCTTGCTAACATTTGCATGTATATATATATATATATATATATATATATATATATATATATATATATATATATATGTAGGCCTGATGTCTGGTAAGTCTCGGTGGAAAAAGCAGCGTTTCTGGGAGCTCAGGGCGGCGTACCGCTGTAGCCGGGCCTCACCTGCTCCACGCCGGCGCTCTGGCTGTACACACGCTCGTGACTCTCATCCAGGATGATGTTGATGGTCTGGTCGAAGCCTTTCAGCGTGCCCACGATGTTGCGGCCATCTGCTGTGATGACAGAGACGGTGTGGCCCACGTAGGACTCTATGCTGGAGGCCATGGCGCACCCACTCGGCCTGCGGCGCGGACAGCAGCGGGTCCGGTTAGCGCACCGGATGCGTTGTCGTGGGAGACCAGGGCCGAGAACCTTGACAAAGATAAACCCAAGGCGCCCAATGTTTGACGTCAGAGGGTGGGAAGAAATGTGTCAAGCATTATGGCATGTTAAACCTTCACCACTAAATTCTGCCCTTGACCTGGATTGGTGCAATCAGATTGTAGGGATCAGGACCCAACAACACACACTGGTTAGAATGAAGTCTTGATTCCTGACATCCATCCATTCAAAATGCTTTGATTGAAAGATAAATAGGGAAAAGAACATATGGTACTGTAGTTCACTCTTTTTCACCATAAATCATTTCTTCTGATCACTCATGAGTGTACAGTTCATTACAATGAACTAAGGGATAGGGGTCTGTTAAGATTGTTTTCTAAACAGGAGGCATTAATTGGCTGTAATGGCTCAATGATCCATCTCAAAATAACACTGGCAGTTGGTGACACATAAAGCCCTGACCATTATGGATGGCTGGCTGATGAGGTTTTTTCTCACTCTGCCCTAGGGTTTAAGTTGCAGGATCATATTCAGTTGGAGATGGGGCCTTCAGCACCCCCTTCCCCAACTTGCAGCCCAAGGGTTGAGCTGAGCTGCTGAGCTCCCTCCTCAGTCTTATGCATTTGCCTGTCTGCTGAAGCTGCTGGCTGTGAGAAAGCTCTCCCTCTATGCCAATTCAGGGTCATTAGGGCAGGGTTGTAGCTGGGTGCCATCCAGATAACTGCTGGTGTTATGCTGGTGTTTTCTGCCCACTGGTCAAACTGGGTACTCCTGCCTCTCACATCTAACACAACAGGGCAATGTGTCATGTCAAACATGTCCATATGCATATTGACACCCAGTGTTGCTACAACTGCCCAGACATTTTATTGCATAGCCAGCTTGGTTACATGCCTGTAACTGTTTTCCAAATGTCTTTAGAAATTTATTTATATCAAAGATGCCCAGGTTTGAAAACTGTCTGCTATATGTGGTGCAACATATTTGGTACATCCATTTGCATCTAGTCAAAATTAGTGAATATAACACTATGGAAAAGATGACACAGTGTAATGATCAAGTATTGGGAAAATACATTTTTGAAGCATGTTTCTAATCACTCAAAAATGCAGCACCAATCGACTCACCATGCAGGCTCTAAAGGCCAGAAATATGTAAAAGTACATGGAAATTGAAACCTTATCAACATGGACATTGTCCTTTTACTTGTGATAAATGAAAAAACATAAAATTGTGCAAAAGCAACACCAGCCTTACAAGTTTACAGTACATTTCATTTGCTTGCAAAATGCAGTCAGTCCAGTCCGCAACAAGTCACACCTCTGCCCCAAACACCTTGACCAGTTTGGTGCACTGAACTAGGCACTCACATGAACAAAGCTCAAGGCAGACCAAATTGAGCTAAAATTGCATATCATTCTGGCAGAAAATAATGTTTTAGAGCATTTTCACCTATACTGTCCCAACATCATAATTCCCAAAAACATTGTCTCTCTATGCACTGCAATTAGTGCTGAATATGTGCCAAACAGCCAAACTCTGACCACTCAGATCTATCATTTATATGTAATGAATTTCTAGTGCAGTTGCCACAGGGATATGTTCCAAGCATTGCATTTTTACCAGTTTAGTAATCAGGCTGCAGAAAGAGTAATGCATTGAGGGCTGAAAGAGATGGAAAGATGAAATGTTGACAAAAATGTTTATTAAAACTGTCTCACAAGTAAGGAAGCTGATGAGCTAAATATAATTTATGATAATGCACCAAATCCCACAAAAACCATGCTGCACAAGAGCAGCAATCACAGGGAAGTGGTGGATTAACAGGCGCAGGAGCATTATAAAATGATCACTTGTCCCGGACCTTCCCTAACAGGTAAAAAGGTCTTCTCCCTCAATAGGCATGAGTACACTAAATCATAGCCAAATGGTGCCAAATACACCTCCCTGACGAAGCTGCTTGCTATGCTGCCTGTCACGCCATAGCAGAGGTACTGTTAGCAACGCTGTGCTGATGGAATAACTGCCACCTGCCTGTAACGTTAAAATCGCAGAATGTCAGCTACAAGCCCACGATGAACGGTGAAAACCGGACAACCCCGAAAAACGTTTCCAACGTTTACACCGCGACGAAGATTCCCGGCGTTTCCGCGTTGTCCAACGCAACTAACGCGCCAAAATTCGCAAACTGAGCGCAGTAGCGAACGCACGGGCAGAGTCTAAAAAGCCGACATATGAAGCAGACGCGCTCGTTCTCCGACACCATTCGTCCAATCGACTTTAAACTTTCACCAATCGATTCAGTGCAACAAGATGAGCCATGAGGTGACAATATCAAAACCTTTCCTGAGGTCAAACACCTTACAAATGTGCAGGGAAAATTGTGTATGCAAAGGTAGGCAGCCCAGATCCTAGGAACCAGTGCACCGATCGCTGTGAAACCTTCCCCCATTGGATGTGCCATGCCTGTTTTCCTTCGTACAGCTTAAATTTGGTTACTCTAGGTCAAGTAAAATTCATCAAATTTCACGAAGTCCAAAATTTTTGCTTGCAGGCAACTCAGTTATCAGAACCTACCGAACCGATCACTGTCAAACCTTGTCCCACGAACGTCAGGTAGGACGACAGTTCCACTGATGCTCGGGGAGAGCAGCGCGGATCCCTCCGGGCCTGATCCGGGCCAGCGGCGGCGCCGTGACGGTCGTCACCTGAGGTGGGCCCACGCTCCACAGGCTTTCCCCATGGATGTCAACAGTAAACATCCGATACGATTGCAGCCGACCCCGCGGCGTTCTAGAGCGCCAGGTCAACGTGAAGGCAGCTTGCCCCACCATCGCCAGGTGCGACCACGTAGGTCCGTCCGCTCAGGCAGCGGTCGTGGAAGTCGGCGGCGGAGATTTCTCCATGCGGGTAACTCACTGAACAGTGAAATAGAAGAAATGGATGCTTCAGGATGGTTGGCATATGAACTTATCTCGTAAAGTCCTTCGTAATCGGTTCTAGCTTCATTTTTGCTTCCGACATCTTATGCAGACATTCGACATCCTATCCGTGCAACAATATGCTGATCGGCTTGCGTACAAGCAAGCGAACCACTCCATTCCAGCTGTCCTATCTAGTTCCGAATGTCTGTGGGTACGAGGGTCATAATTTGTCCCCGGCATCTGGAAGCTCGCGATCATTGGCTGCATGGCTTAACCACTGACGTGGTTGCTTGGACGAGTCCATTTTGCGCATGTGGGGAATTCGCAATTTATTGCAATTTATTTATTCGCAATTATCCACGTTTCGGGTAGAATAGTTCATACATATGTTGATAACAACCTGGTTGCCGACATGCCACCACACCAACATTAATTTTTAGGTCCGCAGTAAAAGCCCGGGCGCGTATTCAAGCCTCGATCCGCGAACACTCCTCGCATTAACACGTGCCCGGTTGGGAGTCAAATTGATCCTGCTAAGGTATTTCCGGAATGGTTTCCGAACGGTGTGGCGAATTTTGGCCAAATTTTGCGTAGCTGCAGAAAATTGAATAGCGGATCATTCGGTTTCAAGAATTCAGTTGCACCGTGTGAGGTCGCTGACCTACGGCAGGTCAAAGTCAGGCCATGGATTCAGCGAAGTCAGCTTCTAGGGAATCATTCAATCGGATGCAAGAACGGAATGGTAGACGAAGCTGGAAGGTTAAAGCCAGGAGTTCGAAACTAGCCTGCTCTATTGCTCTATGGCTTGCTGTTTGTGATAGTTTATTGTGCTCATTTTGAGGGCATTGATGACAGGATCCGCATAACACATCTTCCATGGACCTCTTAAAGGTCAGAATAGGTGACTTACCTAAACTGACCTGACCCAGACCAACGTTTTATTTTGAGAAAACTGCTACCTAGCGCAATCTTTGTCGCGTACTTAAATGCAAAACTCAAAGCAGTCTTGTATGATTTGGGTCAACACGATCTTCAAAAGGTCGAACAGGGTCACTGACCTTACATGAGCATGTGAAATTTTGCTTGGAACAGGTATCTAGGTTTTGGGGGGCACTTTGAAGACCCATCTGAAGTTTGACCTTGTCTGACCTTATTTGACCCTAAGGTCATGATCTGGGAACATCAAACTTTGGCAAACGTAAACGAACGTAAAGGCGAACATACCCAGCGAATTTGGTGTCTAGCTCTTTTAGTTCCTGATATCTCATGGCAATCAAAGTGACCCCCAGCCGAGTAAAGGGTATCCATACGGCCACCCGGGCGTGTGTTAACACGCGGTCGGGTGGGGTCAATTTTACCCCTCCAGTGGTTTTCCGGAATGGTTTCCAAACGGTGCGGCGCAGCTGCGCCAAGTTTTGCGTAGCTGTAGACAATTGAAAGGCGGATCGTTTGGTAGCAAAAGTTTATATGTAACTTGTAAGGTCGCTGACCCACAGTAGGACAGTCAGGTTCTAGGAAATCGTTCCATCTCATGCCACAACGGAGTGTCAGACGAAACCACACATTCCTGAGTTTCTTATACAACACAGCAATTCAATCGACAAATTGCATTGACCTATGGTCCGGTATTATGTCAGACCAAGGTCAAAACTAACCCTGTTTTGTTACACTATAGCTTGTTGAATGAGTTACTTTCTGGTGCTCATTTCTAATTTTACTGATAACAGAAGCCGCATTCTACATCTCCCATGGTCTTCTGAAGTCAGGTCACTGACCTAAAATGACCCATGGCAACATATCGCTTTAGGAGCATACTACTTAGCGTAATCAGATGCACGGGAGGAGCACGATTGTTTTGCATAGGGCTGGTTCGAATCTCAGCAATGCCAAGGAGACAATTTGATCGTGGTGCGTACATGCCTATTGATGCCCGTGACGCGGGCATTAACTGTGTACGCGAACAGACCCAAGTAGCCGAAGCGCTCTGTAATACCAATCATGCACATCGAAGACGGAAATCAACCGACAAGAGCGCAGACTACAGCCAAAACTCTCCAATTTCGTGAAGATACGTGTATATTCCGTAATTATACAATCAGCGCATTGCGAATTAAAAGAAATGTCAAGCACAAACAGATGAATTCCAACTAAATGAACTGGCGTGAGATTATCGAACAGGATGACGGCGGGCCTCGGGGTCACCATCGGACGACCAAGCTTGAAGACGACCACAGAAAATCCACAGCTGATCCGCGAAATGAAGATTGTCTACGGATTTTGAGCACACAGATGTGACTCGCGGCCGATTAGATATGGATGGAACAGTAAAACATTTTGAGCAATCCCTCACACCGCCAACACAACAGGGTGCCGATGAATGAAGATGATGAGACAAAATAAATAAGGCGAAGCTCGCAAGCGTGTGTATGTACGTGACCAGCACCGCGAAATCCCCGGCAAACCGCCACCAGTTAACTGCACAAGTAATAAATCTCTATACAACATCTCGTTTACTTGAGCGATGTCGGTGTCATCAGAAATTATGCATGGAACCAAATTTTTGAAACTCACCCGTTGCGCATGTTCACTCATAATGTTCGTCTCATTCACAAGCTTGCTACCCACACTAGCTGCTGGGCTCCGATTATTCACAGCTGGCGCCCAGTTTGACGCAGTGCGGCGGGTTCGGCAAGGTAAGCCTCAAATTTGCCACTATTGCATCACCAAATCCCCAGCGCCCCACCTGAGCATTACACCCAGCGATGGGCGACACCTGAGGCTGATTCGCAGACGACAATTTCCCCTTCACGAACCAAAGCCATTTCAGCCTTTCCCGCGTTCTGGGAGCCTACAGTTGGCCAGCATCAAACACCTGGCGGCGCTGTGGAGGCTACATTGCCCAGGTGTTCGTCGCTGTGCATCTTCAGAAAGTGCAGAGTCAGTGAGTCCGGCTCCGACCCGGCCCTGGCCACGTGCACCACCGACACGCCCGTGTTGGGCGCAATCCGGTTGGCGTCCGCCTTCTTCAGGTTGCCGTGGTACGTCTCGAACAGGTGGCCGATCAGTTCGCGGATCAGGCAGCCGTGGCTGGTAACCAGCACGCGCGTGCACTGATCGGACAGGTGGTGCTGGCACACGTCGCGGAAAAAGGCGCCGGCGCGCGCGCGTACCTGCTGCTGCGACTCGCCGCCCGCCGGCACGAACTGCGCCACCGGCAGGCCGGCGGCCGACGCGGCGCGCGCCAGCTCGCTCACCGGCTGGTTCTCACAGACGCCGTAGTTCTTCTCGCGCAGCCGCTGGTCTTCTGTGACGGGCAGCCCGCCGGCGACGACGTCGCACGTTTGGCGCGCGCGCTGCAGGTCGCTGGAGTAGACGGCGTCGAACGTGACGCCGCGCTCGACCAGGTGGTGACGCAGCGCCTCCGCCTGCCGCACGCCCAGCTCCGACAGCGGGTAGTCGGACTGGCCCTGGATCAGCTGCTGCCGGTTGCCCTCTGACTGGCCATGCCGCACGAGCGTCAGCAGCAGCGAAGGTCGCAGTTTCAGCAGCTTGCGGGCGCCGCCGGGAGCGTCGGCCAGGTTCATGGCGCGGCGCGGCTCAGCCGGACAGGAGGCGTAGGCGGCTTCGACCAGCCTGAGACGTGCGCCAGGTGACGCGTTAGTGCGATGGCGTGCGATGTTTCGTTCTGAACATGAAAAGCGTGACATGCGTGTTATCGCAGCCGCGCCACATCTGCACATACCCGCACTTGACAAACTTGGTTTACCGGCATGTACGAAAAAACACTGCGCATCTCGATGGTACGGACGAATGCTGCAATACGCTAAATAACGATAAGCAATTAGACGCCCAGTTAACGGGAAAAGTATTATGTAACAACAGTATAAGTAACAACAGGGTGTAAGTAACACAGTAAAAGTATATAAGTGTATAAGTAACCACAGTACGTTTGTGAAGCGGTAATAACATCTTTTAGAGGCAGCCAAGTGCAATGAAAATGTTTTCAAGATGTGAGCATCACAATTTTTACCTTCCCAAGCACCACTATACCTCTCACTTAAGGAGACACGGTGGCACCTCATTCAGTTCAACCGCAGTACATTCCACCAAATACTAGTCATAGTAAGCCTTGTCATCTAAGGTCAGTTCGTAACATGTACAGCTGCTTTGGGATGATCATGGGTGTGGTCAGTGTTGTTTCCTAATTGTCATGTATTTCCCCCAAAAGTATATCGATACCAGCCCCAGTTCAGGCTAGCTGTATCAGGTGAGATGGTGCCATTTTTTGCTTGGATTTCTGAGTGAAGGTGCTTTAATCAAATTGCCGTGTTTCCAGACGTAGCCATGTGGAGAGCAAAGGGGTTATACCCCTGAGTCAACAAGCTACACCAGACCCCGACAATTTCGCACAGTTTCGGCCAAATTCGCTGCATTTCTGAGAAAATTTGGCTTTCCATAAACGACAAATTTTGGCTACGCGCATGGTGTCCTTTCATATGGATTAAAGAATAGTGGGCCATTTCAACACAAAACGCGCTCCAAAACGTAAAAATATTGTCACCAAACATGAAGTCGGGTGAACAGCTCTCCCACAAAGCTATATGATAATCTGAAGTCATCTGATATTTGAGCTCGATCTGAACGACGATTCTGAGATAAGGTCACTTTAATGTTTTACACCAGCAATCCGAGGGTTTTTTATGGTGAGCGGCTTGTTTCATGAAAACGGCAAAATGCACATACTTTATAGGTATGCAGCATGTAAAAATGATGTTTATCTATATACCATTGGAACATTCATGAATTGGACATCATAATGCATATCTCAGTTTTAAATTTCAAACAAAAAACCGAGCCGTGATCTCATAATCTGAAATTATTAAGCTGCCTGACCTGGTTACCGCAAAATAATTTTTTTTAGGCCGTCAAAATAAAACTCATTTGTTGTGAGTAAGTCGTAAATGCTTACCATTTTGAGCCCCTCTCTATTTTTTTAAACATCATGTCGGTGCACACATCTTGTTTTATCGATGGATGCTCAGTGTTGCTGCAGGAAGCATGCACCAAAGCTGGCTTGTTTTCATGGAAATTTATAATACTGTGTTTAAACTTTCTTTGAAAAGTATAGAGGCCAAACATACTTATATGTAAGATGTTTTACAACTGCACACATGCATTCATTCACTGTTGACATTTCTCCCTGTGAATGTTCCATAGTCAAAGATATCAAAGCATCAGATATAATGAAATAAGCCCACCTCTAGCTATTGGTATGCAAGTAAAAAGACTGCTCTAGACAACACAATTTCTCTGTTAAGTAAATCTGCTTCTAAATACATCAATGTTTGGTTGTCGCGACCTCTCGCAAGACACTGATTGAGAGCCAGATGACAGCTGTTAAATCTGGAAATCATGCTCACAAACACCAGACATGAATAACTCAACACTTTTTTACTGACCTTGATGGCCGCATTGCTTATAATGTGACACAACATGAATTATCTTATTATGGCAGAGATAAGCAGGTCTTATGATAAGAGATAACTCAGTAAACACCAGTCAGGTGACATCAGATCGCCAGTTGCTCAAAACTGAAGGCACAACATGCATCATAATCTCCAAATCAAGAACTTCTCAGTGGGTGAAACCATCTGTGCTATCCTGAATTGTATAGCCCTCAAAAGGCAAGTTGTTAAAGCATTAATGAGGGACATTTTTCACACAGATGAGACATTACTTATAGCCTTATTCCTGGGAGAAAAACCAGGAGAATGGAGATATAGATACATAAGTATTTTGCAGCATGCCTTTATCAAAACAAATAGCAAAAAAAGAAAAAGAAAAATGACTAGCATCATTTCACACCATTAGCACTATTTTCCTGGCTTGGAAATGGGTGCTAATCACACAATGGGTCCTAATGTGCATTAGGGAGGGAAGAGACACATTGATGTCCCTCAAAGACCCTGCAAACCTAGGCCAAATTTTTGCAATATCAGCTTGTGTATGGTGCAAAATTTTGCCTGATCTCCTCAACCATTACATGTTATGGACAGTGACAAAGATTTTCACATAGTAGCGGGTACATACCAACGAAAAACATCTTACAGCCATCAAAACAAGTCGTAATTACAATTTTCATTCAATCCGTGTAACTTCACACAACAAACAACGCACTCAAGAGGCCCAAAAGTAAAATGCATTGCTCTTATCGAGAAGTCACAGAGAAACTCGTACCCCACAGTAACATGAACCGGTTGTTATAGGGCCCTTCACAAATCACACAACCTCACCGCCATGAATCGCGATGAAACGCGACAGCCGGCTGTAAATGGCCTTGAGCACAACCGCACGCAACTCCTTGCATAAACACGTAACGACTGCGCCGGTTTCCGCCGTAGTGCGGACAGGGTCTAAAAAAACTGACATATAAAGCAGACACGCGCGATCTCTATAGACCCCTATCTGATCGCCTTAAAACCTTCACCAATCGATTTTGCGTAATAAGAATAGTTTTAAATAGGCAACTTTGAGACTTGAGCTGACGTCAAACACATTTAAAATGCGGAGGGAAGATTTGACATACAAATGCAGTCAACTCGATCCAAGAGCCAACGGGGAGCCATCATAAAGTTCAGGATCGCAGCGTCCAGTGTTCATATCGTCCAGGATCGCGGCGTCTAGTGTTCATAAAGTCCAGAAAGCGTTCAATTCCGTGCCCATGGGGGACGTTTATAAGGTCCAGGGACGCAAAGTCCTGAGTCGCGAAGTCCAGTGTTCATACAGTCCAGTGTTCAAAACGTCCAGTATCCATGGCAACCGGGCTAGTTTGGACTCCTGCCGCTATTTAACACTACAGAAGCATCTTTGAGTCCTGCCGCTATTCCCTTCTGTTGTCAACAGATGGCACAGTCAACCTGGCATTCCACTGATAATCACGTGATGCGTACAGTCAAGCATGGTTACTATAGACACCTGTCGGCCGTGTCCGGCCTGGGCGTGGCCGCGGTCCCTGGGCTCACCGGCGGACTGGGCGCAGACGCGCCGGGCGGCGGCGCGGCCGGAGACATGGCGGCGGCGCGGGCTCGTCGGGGGCCGCTGCGCCTGCGGGATAAGCGGGCTCTCCCGCCGCGCCGCTGCTACCGGGACCCCAAATGCCGGGGTGCACTCGGTTTCTCAGGAGTCCTTGATATTGGTATCGAGTTTTTGCATATTGGGTTCTTTCCACTTGCTTGGAGTACCCCGTGCTGTTGCTGGGGGCTCATATAAGGCGACGCTCCGAGGCACTCGATGCTCAGGGGCCCTCTTCATTGACCTATGGCTCTTTCCTCTTTTAAGCTTATTTGCTGAGGACCCTTCACTTGTCAGAGCTCTCTCTGTTAACCTGCCCGGACACTCTTGATTACACAGGCGTGTTAATTCATGTACACTGATCTTCGGTTATTGCCCTTTGTTGAGGGGATTCTGTACTCCGACCGGGTCCTATATGTTGGCCTGCCGGAGTGCTCCCGGTCGTTCAGGGGTCTCACCATATTGGTGCAAGGTTCTTCTCGGTTGTTATGAAGACCTTCACTGTTCACAGGAGCCTCTTTATTGGTCTGCCACGGCAGTTTCGATTGCTCAGGTGCCGTCCTTATTAATCTCTGGTTTTCCATATCATAAGAAGGCCTACGCCGTTGACGGGGACCTAAATCTTAATAATTTTTATTGAGGCTTTTCTTCCTACCGGCCGATGACTGAATTTGCGGCTGTGCTGATTACGCCGATGAACTCGTTCTTGTCATTGTTGATCAAAATAACTAACTAGGGAGCTCACAAAGTAAGAGGCCCTATTAAGTTTTCTAGCATTTTCGCAGTGTGCATGTGTGGAGATTTAGTTACCGTGAAGTTTACTGCTTCTGATCACTCCAATATGGTGTTGTGTTTGTTCTGGCCGGTGTTTTTGCCCGAATCGCAAAAGGCATTTAATAATGATGTATACATGCACATATGCATACATACATGTATACAACACACACACACACACACACACACACACACACACACACACACACACACACACACACACACACACACACACACACACACACACACACACACACACACACACACACACACACACACACACACACACACACACACACACGATCATTTGCACCAAACCCTGTGAATAGCACAATCAACACAGTAAATCACAACACTGCATGCCAATCACCCAATACTCGCGCCATTCATCGGTGCCTTGTTCCCTGTCCAAGTGCGTTATTTGTGATGCTGCTCCAGAGAGATAATTCAGCAGTTTGATTCATTTCTTGCTTAGAAGTCGTTTGTGGTCACGAACGAGAAATGCATACAGAATGTTGGGTTTCATGGTTTTGTGTGTAGATGGCAGAACTGCAGTGTTTTGTGTAAGCGCTCGGCGCGCTAGGAGAGCATTGTGGCCGGGCTGTACGTGATTTCTTGGTGCCCCCTCCGTGAGGTGCTCTGTGATACGTCGGAGCAAAAATGTTGTAGTTGCACCATTGCAGCATACGGAGCTTTGCAGCAACAGCTGACAGCGGTCAACAGACGGGTAGAAATGACCACGCATTGGAAATCGGTACTTTCCAAACGCTTTATGACGTCAATGGATGTGCGTGTAAAAGGTGTCCCCTTGCCGGATGTTCCATTAGTGCAATTTTTAGATTGGTATTCGGGACGGACCGCGGGAAGGCTCAATGAAGGCTCAATGGGAAGGCACAATGACGTAATCCCTCTTGCTCGTAACGCTGCAACGCTGAACCCGTGCAGAGAATCGACTGGTCAGTCAACGAAATTGCATTGCTTACACGTTCTGGTCAGCAGCTGAAGGGCAGTACGTCTCATCTGGGGTTCCCAGTGGCTTTTAGTCCAGTGATACCCCCAGGACCGTGCGAAGACCCTTTAGAAGGATGCGTCACAACCGGTCCCCTCCTCGATGCGGCTGGCCCTCTAACTGAGACATCCAGCAACGGATCGGCGCAGCGGCCCTCGCTGATGCAAACAGACTCTTTACTGGCACAGGAAGTCCAATCATTGGTATCGAGGTACTAATTCGCCTTATCGGTCTCTGGTTGAAATGGTACAGAGGATCCCTTGCCCGGTTCCGGTGTCCTGGCTGGCCTCTCCAGGCCTCTCCAATGTCTCATTGTACACGAGAACCCCCCTTTGTCATTTATCATGAATCCTCTCATTGTTAGGAGGATCCAGACCAGACGAGGACGATAGGCCCTTTAACATACAAGGGCCCAGCATCGTCCCTATTCAGCAAATGTGCGCCTGGCCGACCTGGGGCTTATTGCAGACACATGGTCTCCTGCTAGGAACTGTGGTCACTGACCAGTAATGTGGGTCGTTCATTGTTTCAGGTGTCCCGACCAGTGCAGGGTGCCCTCTATTTATTGCCCTCCAGTGCAGAGTGCCCTCTATGCCCTCTTTCTATATATCCTGGCATTTAGAGATCTTGGCCTTGTCTCTGCTCGGGCCCCAGAACAACACCTAGGCCCCAGAATAATACGGAACGGACTGTTCGATATGGCTGTTCCCAGTCAGTTGCTTCAAATAAAGACATAGTCACACGGGTTTCCGATCAGTGATAGAGCTGCTCTTACATTTTAGCGTCCGGCCTTCGGGCTGTGGTCCCTCCATACGACCTCTGGCCTGCCCTTCGGACCCTTCCATCAGGCGCCTTCTTCTTTGGCCCCAAAGGTGATCTTCGTCCCCAAGGGACCAAAGAAGGACCTTCGGAACCCATGGGACCCTCATGGCCTAAGGAGGAGGTGGAGGAATTCGTGCTTAATTCGGTTATCCGCGAAAATTAAGCTTTGGGGGCAATTTGAAGTGCCCCTGGAATCTCGCATCGCTTTAAAATGAATGCTTGGGCTGGTTGTGGTGTTCCAATTTAAAATGGGGGCTCATAAAAATAAATGTTGTGATGCCCCGCAAACAATGTACTTGCTGCCTTTTCACTGTAGTAGCCAAACCAAGATTTCAACAGTGTAACCCAGGGCAACTGTGCTGCCCCTGTATTTCGGCGTCCCTTGAAAGGGAAGTTTTGGAGCGCCTTCAATCGTCCTTTCAATTGCCCACTTGCGTTTGGTGTCCCAATGAAATAAATGCAGTGCTGGTCCGAAAGAAAGGTGTCGCTTGGCCCAATGGGCGGATGCAGGATTTCGTTAATGGAGAGGCGCGGGCATTTTGATGACTCGTCGTAAAGCCCCAGTGATAACGTAGGCTGTTGGTGCCTGTTTTCCTGAACGGGGTGCTCCTTCCCTGAACGGTCTGATCCATAATTTTTCCAAAGTGAAAGGCACACCGATTGTTATGCGAGTGGGCATTGGTGCCCTTTTAAAATTATTCGTTTTTGGGCTTTATAACTGGCCCGCTTTTGACTTAGTACCCCGTGGCATTCAAGATGATGTCGCCCTGTAAAAACGGTTTTGTGCCTCCTTGCCCAAGGGTCCGATCCAGGATTTTATCAGGGCGGAAAGCTCGACATAGTTATGACCCTGGCCTTAATTGCTCTTTCAGAATAAAGGGTTAGGGCCTTTCCGGTACTCTCTGGAGTTGGGTGCTTCTTGAAAATAAAGGTTGTGTTGCCTCTAAATGAAGGATTTGGTGCTCCCTCACCCCATGGGCCGACGCAGGGTTTCGTCGAGGCCACGGCACGAAATTCGTGGTGCTCCTGCAGTTTGGTGTCTCATAACAATATACGTTATGTGGGTCTGAAATGAAGGTATTGTTGCCCCTTTGCGATGAGATTTGGTGCCTCTTCAGGGCATCGAAACCTCCTTGAGCCCAAAGGAGAGAGGAATGACCCCATGGCCCTTTTCGCTCCGGACCCGCCCCTGCTTTGTGGTTCCTCAGGATTTGTGTGCCTCTGGAAAATAAAAGCTAAGATGCCCGGTAATAAAGGTTTTTTGGTGCTCCCTCGTGGAACAGGCAGATCTTTCAGAAGATTTTGCTACCCCTTCACCATGATATTTTGTTACCCCCTCACCCCAAGGAACAGGGGGCATAGCCCATCTAACCCCCACCCCTTACCACTCTTGATCCGCCATTGGTCAGGGTCGTTTGGCAATACACACCTCATCGCCTCAAAGCGTGGCCCGTTATTTCTTCCCAATTTGTCATTTGGCTCCTCGCGTAAGCCCCATTTATGTAACTTTGGTGTGGATCTGAACATATACCGTGTTGTGTTT